CCTCAAACGCTACAATGAAACCAGAAAATGTTTAACCAATTATTTTATTAATCCTAATTCGACCATAATGCCCAAGCTGAACGGAATATTAATCATGTTTGCAGATGAAGGGAAGTCTAACGAAAACAATATTAGGTAAAATTTTGGAAATCTATCGAATAAGACCTTTAATGCTTTTATGACGAATTTCTAAGGAAAGTGTAATAATAATTGCTATAAAAGCTTGGGAAAAAGCTTGGCATTTGTTGAATGAAAGTATCAGATATTTAATTAACCGAGAAAAGTAAAAAAAAAAACTCGATGTATGGGTATGCAGTGTCACAGCTCGAGAAGAATAAACGTAAACAGCTTCGAAACTTCGATTTGTTTCTTTCCATTTATGTTACTAATGTTTACTGAACACCTTATAACACAACAATCTGTATTTCGCCTAACCACTTGTTCTTCCTCTAAAAGTCTCGAACAGTAGGTAAGCTTTGCTCAAACTTAAAACTTTCAATATTTTGCTTTCAACTTTTTTTCGTGGGAAAGATAAGAATCCTATTGAACTAGACTTTTCTCATTAATGAATGAAATCTTATACGGGTAATGTTCAAACCCACTTTCAACTCCAATATTCTGATGTCTGTTTTCCTCCTTCCCACACTTTCCGAACATTACTCCTAACTCTTTATGAACTTAAACGGGCATTTTGCGTCACCTTCAGTGAGTCGGTAGACGTGATAGAACATAAAATTCCGAATAAATGTTTCTCTCGATTGGCATCCCTTAAAAAATGTTTATCAACTTTAGGTTTAATGTGTGGCACATTATTCTTTATTAGATATTTATGAACAATGCAGTGATAAATTTTCTCTAGCAATTGGATGCAATTTTGATTTCTAATATTGGACAATGTATAAATGCAAATAAATAAAAAACTTGGTACCTATCAATTTAATACAAAAGTAAAAAAAAACTGGTTTTAATTAAAGTAAGAAGTTTACCATTTTGTGCAATTTTATTTTAAAACATCCAAAATAATTAAAAATATTCATTTTTGAACCTCAGACGTTCCCTATCGTCCCAGCTCGCAATGCCAAAAGAAATAAGCGAAAATAAATAAAGTGAAGTATTTGTAAAATAATTTTCAGTAAACTCTTTCATAAGATTATTAACTTCAGTATTTTTCGTGGTCCGCTTGACCAATTAATATCATTCAATTAGTTAAGGTTTTTAGATAGAAAAGTCAGTGTCACGAGCAGGATTCGAAGACACGATCTTCGGCTTGATACGCCGCTGCTCTACCACTTGAGCAATCGTGACCTCGATCCACTCGGACACCCACTGCCCATCTCAACCCCGCCTTTTGAATTTTTCCTCCTTTTGCCTCGTTTCAAATGTCGTGTAATCTATTCGATTCTCGGCAACAAATGAAATGTCCATGGAGAGCTTTGGTGAAGATATACTTCATTTAACTTATTAAATTCATTAGATTTTGTGGTCCGATTGAGCAAATAACATCTTTCAATTAATTAATCTTTATGTAAGGTATTGGTTGAGATAAAAGCGAAAGTTAGTGTCCGAGTGGATCGAAGTCACCATAGCTCAAGTGATAAAGTAGCGGCCTATTTAGCCGAAGGTCGTGGGTTCGAATCCCGCTCGTGAAATTGACTTTATATCTCAACCAATACTTTACATAAAGATCAGTTTTATAAAATGTTTCTTCCAGCACCTGATAAGATTCCTTGTGTAGTAGTCATAACAACTTCCGGCACATACCGATATTAGTCGGTTCTCATAACCCTCCCTGGGGTTACCCATAAGCCTCATTTCTTATTCGTACATATTTTCCGGCGGAAAATTATTATTGTCCTGTGCAGTAATTTGAGATTTTCAACTGTGTGTTGCCCAAACGTCGGGGCATAGATGTATTATTTTTTTCATAAATCCAAAAATCTCTCGGATCTAGTTCCGTCTTGAACATGAGTCACATTAACCAGCATCAGTTTTCTGCTTTATCGACTGATTAACTTTGCTTTTGTATAGATGAATATCCTTTCATTTCTTGATTTTTATTGTGGGCTCGTGGGAGCGAGTATAAATACCGCATATTCTTGTATCCTTCAGTGGTAAGGAGCTGCTAAACCGTTCCCCCTACCTGCGTCGAAGATGTCACGTAATTTTTTTTTTTTTTTTTTAATTTTGTGAAGCAACTGACCCCCATACTGTTAGGGTATTAAACGTTTTATGCTATTCTTTTTAAGATAAACTCCCCATTCTCCAAGAAATGAAACATCCATCAAATTCTTTATCGCTCAATCTATCACGCTTGTCACATAATCATCTTCCGCTCCCACAAAAGAGAATAATGAATCCGATCCGACGCCTGGAAACAAATGGTAGCTCGTAAAAAGTAAATTGTCAAAAGAGGTTCATCAACGGATCCGCTCGTCCTATCTTGCCAACTAGATTTCCAATCTTTATTGCTTTAACCATTTTTGGAAATTACAAAGTGACGTAGTTAGCAATAAATAAATAAGAATATATAAATCTTAAATAGCAGAGAAGAGGTTAATGTTGACTGATAATAGATATCTGTACCCCAACTTTCTTGAAGGATCAACAGGCTTCTGCTGGAAGATAGGTAAATGGAAAAATGGTGCATTTAGGATTTTTTGACTGGACAGTTTTTATTGGTGTAACGATTCTAAAAATTCTTCAAAATTAGATTTTAGGATTAGCTATTAGGTGATAACAATGTTTTCGATTGAAAGAGTGACCAGTTAGATTTAGAGGAAAGGTTGTACACTTAGGGTGGATCTTAGAAAGTGGATTTTGAACTGTTGAAAATCCTTGAAAAAGGATAAAAGTTTGCCTTGTTTGCATTGTGAATGTTTCCGGTAAATAGTTGTAAATAAGGTGAACTTAGTAATTAACGGAAATGTAATTGCCTAAGGGGAGCATGAGCAAGGCAAGGAGATAAAACAATAAAAAAGTCGATTTGATCCAGAGAGGAGAAAAATCTCCTGTGAATGGACGGTCCACTGGATTTCTCAAGATCGCTCAATCTTTCTACCTTGGAAGCGAACATAGGAAAACTATTTGGAAGAGGATCAAGAAAGGCTAAGAAAAAATCTCCGAGGAATTTCTGAAAGAAGGCAGGACCAGGGCACAAACAAGGAATGTCGAGACAATTTAAGCTGTACCCTAAAATTAATGTAGGTTTGTTGGAGTTTGTTCTTTTTTTGGCAAGCTTGGCCGATTATAAGAAAACAAAGAAGGAAAAAGTTTTTTTTCAGTCAGACTAATTGGGGTGATAACAATTGAAATAAAGGGTTGAATATTTGCCTTAACCTGGTGTTAATTTTTATTTTTATAGTGTTTATTTAAATTTCATTGCGATTTTTCTGATAGTACGTAATGACTTGTTATGTTCGGTTGTATTTTAAGTATTCTCATGATTAGATAGCAAGATTGGTTGATTTTTTTACGAGGGTTCGAAACAACAGGGATCATAATATAAACTCTGCCGGTGTTTTTGGAAAAAAACATTTGTAAGTATGTCGGGTTCGAATGCAGGGCCGCTGGATTCGAACCCGGGACCTTTACCTTGCAGGGATGAGCGCCGTGTCTACGCCTAAACCGTTGAGGCCACCGACGCCCTATTTTAATTATTCTAGGCTTTCCTTTTTAAATATAACCTAGATACTACTCAGCTCAGGAAAATCAATTTTACAAGGTTGTACAAAGATAATTTGGCTGGAAATACTGTAAAAATAAGACTTGTGTAAGACTTGTCATTTTCTAAACCACTTTGCGTACTATTATCATTAATTTACTTGGAATTGAGGCACAATTAGAGGTGGTAGGGGGTTGTTGCAAATCAAATTAAAACAATTCTTCGGAAACTCGTAAAAGTTTCTAATTTGAAAATTTGGCCGGAAAAATAACTAATAAATATTGTAATAATTTTAATACGTTTTTAAATTGATTATTCGTAGATCGTGAGATGCGGTCTGGTGTGACGTAGGTTTTAGAAAAACATTTTCTTTATCGTGCCAACGTTTCGATCTTTATTGAGATCATGTTCAAGGTCTTTTTCTAAAACCTACGCCACACCAGACCGCATCTCACGATCTCCAAATAATCAATAACTAACTATCACTAAATAACACGCGCTTTTTCAAATTATGTAATTAAATTTTTCGTAAGAATATTTTATGAGTACGGGATCTTCATGGGGAAATGTTGTGAAAGAGCAAAATTACACGAAAATTGAAATATCTCTCTATTTAAATTGGGCATTATACAAATTTAAATACAAGAATACGTTAGTAGTACTCAAATAATTCAATAATGCTTGTGTCAATATCACTTTAATTATCACACCATAAGAAATCTTGCGGTCCTCGTCAGCAAGAAAGTTTCCAGAGAACAACAAAACCAGATTTCATGTTGTACGAATTGAATATTAAGTCTGTATGTGTCCTTTTATTTCCTACATAAAATCGAGCATTCACGTCTTTTCTTAACATTAAGGATTTGGCAGTTTGGAGAGGCGGATGTTGGTTTTGGTTGAACTTCATTTTTCCTGTCGTAAAGTCCATATCGGCTTAACTATGGTTGTAAAGCAGCCTTTTATTTTTGAGAAGAGTATCAGAGTGTTTGTCAAGAACTCGTGTAGTAGAAGTACATCGGTCATAACTTTTTGTCTTTTCAGTCGTATGTGACGATCTTGAATACAATTGATAGTTTTTAGTTGTATTAACATATACAACAACATCCTGAAGGATTGACATCTGTGCACAGGACAACCTGTAAATATTATAAAAGTCGGAGGCAAAATACTCTCAGTTTTTGGCAGTACGGTACGAAGAAAAAAGGTAGTTTACATGAAAATAGCAGTCTGTGGCATATCCACTTAAATTGAAATGAAGTTGTACGTTTTATCACCGATAAAAACTCTTTGCCAGACGCGCAATGCTAAAATATTTAAATGGAATTTAACAACGTCTTACCTGTGAATTCCAGGCCTCCTAGCTTCCATGTACCTTTTTTCGTTACAAGGATGCTGCTCGGACAAACGTTGCGGTGAAGCACGTGGTTTGAATAATGGAGGAAGGAGAGGGCCTCGGTTATCTGTAAAATATAAATAGAAAGCTTCAATTAAAACGGTCAGTTCAACCAAATCGGAACGTTTTAATTTAATAAATGATTAGATTGTCCGATTTTACTGTCACACGTCAGTGCACTCGTACATGATCGATCGGTCGTGTCATAAAAGCGACGGCTCCAAATAAGGCAACCTGAATAATACGTAAATGACCCTCATTGTTTTAAATAATTTAAAATTAATGTACGATGCCCTAAAACGAATATGAATTTATGACAAACAGCGTACAATTAATAAATATAATTGGCAATATTTTCAATAGTACAATTAATTAAAGTTTTTAGTAGAGATAAAAATGTCAATCGATCCACTCGGACACCAACTTCCCATCTCAATCGCACCTTTTTGAATTTTCCCTCCTTTTTGCCATTTTTCAAATGTCGTGTAATCGGGTTGGATTCTCGACGACAAATGAAATGGCCACGGAGAGCTTTTTTAGCAGCACTTTTTAATCATTAAATTCACTAATTTCTTGGTCCGCTTGACATATGATATTACAATTAATTAAGTTTTTAGTTGAGATAAAAAAGTCACTGGCACGAGCAGGGTTCGAACCCACGATCTTCGGCTTGATACACCGCTGCTCTACCACTTGAGCTATCGTGACCTCGATCCACTCGTTTAAAAAAAAATTGAAAATCGGCAAAAAGGAGAGAAAATTCAAAAAGATGTGGTTGAGATGGGAAGTTGGTGTCCGGGTGGATCGAGGTCACGATAGCCGCAAGTGGTTAGAGCAGCAGCGTATCAAGCCGAAGATCGTGGGTTCGAATCCCGCTCGTGCCATTGACTTTTTTTTTCTAAACTAAAAACCTTAATTATTTGTGATATATTAATCGGTCAAGCGGACCAAGAAATTAGTGAATTTTAAATAATAAAATATTTTTCTACTATAAGCCATTTTTCATATTAATTTGTTTGCTCACAACCTGAAATAATAATTACGTTTGTATTCTTAAGAATGATTTTTGACACTCGAATGGAGTAATTTGTATATTTACGGATGGTTTTGTTGTTGTTCAGTAATATGTTTTACAGTTTATTCAGAAATCGTGAGATGCGATCTGGTGTGATGTAGGCTTCAGAAAAACATTTTCTTTATCGTGTCAACGTTTCGATGTTTATTGAGATCATCTTCAGGGCCTGATTTACAAATATTGTTTAAATTTAACAAATACATGTAGGATGTGGACAAAAGTAAATTTATACAATCCAAAAAATATATTTTTTATATTCAATCGAAGTATTTCTATTCACTCAAAGTGTTTATTTTCTGCGTAAGTATGCCGTTCTTGAGTGTCGTGTTGAGAGTGCCAGTGAGATATTGCTGTTATATGTTTATATACGTTGGATTTTGATTTTTCCTCCCCCCCTTCAAAATTTAACGTATATAAACATAAAACAGCAATATCTCACTGGCACTCTCAACACGAAACCCAATAATCACACATCTTCACTGAAAACAAACACTTTGAATTAGTACAAATACTTCGATTGAGTCTGAAATTTGTAGCATTGTATAAATTCACTTTTTTCCACATCCAACATGTATTTGTTAAATGTAAACAATGTTTGTAAATCCCATGCTCTGAAGATGATCTCAATACAGATCGAAACGTGGGCACAATAGAGAAAATATTTTTCTGTAAACTACATCACACCAGACCGCATCTTACGATCTCTGAATAATCGTCGATTAATGGTCACTAATCACTACACATTAATATCAACCGTCAACACCGACGTGATACCTTGGTATTTACACGTTTTAACAAATTTTATACTGCATAATCAAATTTTTATATTTTCGTATCATATAAAATCCAGGGTGAAACGTTTAATGACCCCACTACGTATAATTTATAACATGTATGTTTCACAAATGTGAAACGTATTGCTAATTTTTTTATATAGAAAACTTCAGCATTTTTATTATCAAATATAAGCGCTTTATCGTCAAAACAATTTTTTTTTTTTTAGATTTTCGAGGAACTTTAATAGTAGGTTATAAAACCGTTATGGGACAACAACTTTTAATCTTATTAAAGTATTATTATATGACTGTACCTTATGCTATATTTCTTTCAATTTTTCCGTTTTAATCTAAACAATCAGAGGACTTACAAATATATAATTTAATTTAATGAATTAATAAAATAAACGTGATTTTAATGTTTTTGGCAGGGCCCGATTGGAAAATCTTGAAGAAACACGATCATAGTCAATGTGTATGGTAGAGAATTTGAATAAAATATACAATTCATTCAGGCTTGCAGATTAATAATAGGCCATACCTGAATGACAAACTTAACCAATTGTGCTGATATACCAGGATGATGTTCAATAAGTTTGAAATACCTTTGCTTCAATTGAGGGGTTGAAATGGAAAGTTAGTGTCCGAAAGTATCGCGGTCACGATAGATAGCTCAAGTGGTAGAGCAGCGGCGTATCTAGCCGAAGATCGTGGGTTCGAATCCCGCTCGTGACATTTACTTTTTTATCTCAACTAAAAACTTTAATTAATAGATTGATATTAATTGGTCAATCGGACCACGAAAACTAGTGACTTTGCTACAATGATCGTCAATGCATGTTGTAACAATGTTGGAATCGGGACGTAATTTTTATTACAAGAAACAAATAACCTGAATTATCAGCTGATGTGAATGTATTTATTAGGAATAATGTTTAGTAAGAAAGCAAAATTCATCGATCTCATTTAGGTTTACGGTGTTAGTTGTGTACGTGGAAAATAAAGGAATAGCGAAACTCCATTGTCCCACTGGCATGAATGGTATGTACATACCGAATGAACTCACTGAATGAACAAGAGTATGAATGATGCAGGTTTTGTTCATAACTGGCAAACGCTGAAATCTGAATGTGCCTGATAGTACAAATAAGAACGTGGTACGCATCCAATAAACGTTTATACGATGAGAAATATCTTGAAATGGACAAAGATTGTTGTTGTTAAATAAACTCAACGAGTAAATTAAATTAAAAATATATTATATTTATATTATGACAAATTTTCGCAACCAGAATTGTCTTAAATCTTATTCTTTATTTAATTATTCAGAAATCGTGAGATGCGGTCTGGTGTGATGTAGGTTTCAGAAAAACATATTCTTTATCGTGCCAACGTTTCGATCTTTATTGAGATCATCTTCAGGGCCTGGGATTTACAAACATTGTTTACATTTAACAAATAAATGTAGGATGTGGAAAAAAGTGAATTTATACAATGCATTCACTTTTTTCCACATCCTACATGTATTTGTTAAATGTAAACAATGTTTGTAAATCCCAGGCCCTGAAGATGATCTCAATAAAGATCTAAACGTTGGCACGATAAAGAAAATGTTTTTCTAAAACCTACGTCACACCAGACCGCATCTCACGATTTCTGAATAATTATCGATTATCGGTCAGTAACCACCACACACTTATTCTTTCTAATCATCTTGTATTATAAATATATTATGAAATCGGATAAACGTGATATAACAACTTGAAAGGGTATTTAATTTTTTCCAATTAATCTAGCTGTTTCAGCGTAGTAAAAAAATTGAGCCTTTTATAACAAAATCCGGAAGGTGATATATAAACCATGATTTTTCCTGCCTACTCTGGCGTGGTCTGTGGAGATAAAAAAATTCCCAAAGCGCTTTAGTCTTTGTTTGATAGCCATAGTAAAGTCTCGGCTTATTTCTGTACTTTGATTTCCCATAAAACATATTGACCCTAGTGAGAGTATATTCAAGTAATTGATTACTTACGTCGGACTGAACAATTTACTATTTCCAAAATTGTGAAATATAACTGTGGCGAATGTTTGTTATTTAAATAATCAGGCCAAAAAGGAGAGTGAGAGGATACGACGTCCGGAAGCGTGGGCCTGGGAAGGAAGATATTGAAAAACGACGCCCGACCTCTATGTATGATTGATGGCTTTTCCTGAACACATTGTCTGCCGGTCGCGTTGTATATTTATTTTTGACAATTTTGTAAAGTTGATTGCTTTTTACGAATGAAGTACGATCCAAGATTATCCCATGGCTTTCAAAGTATTTCAAAGTTTGTGAACTTGTTCTTCTTTTGTTTAGGCGTGTTTGCAGTTTGGCTGTTTGAGAAATATATGCTGAGACACCTTCATGGTATGAGTTTATGAAGGATTATAAACTTTCGTAATCTTTGCTTCAAATGATTATTAAATGAAATTTAAAACTTTAACTGTATAAGTTCGTTATAAAGGTATATTCCGTTTCATACAATTCAATATAAATATCCAAACGTATAAAATCAATTATATTTAAACTTTTTCCACTATAAAAAATAATATTAATTTCGAAGAACGTACTTAAAATAAATTTCACCCAATGAAAGTCGTCCCTTGCACGAATAATAACTGCCCTGGATAAAGGGTTCCCTGCTTTAAATCTCTCTGATCCACAAGGACGCCCAGTAATAACAGAAGCAGAACGAAACAATTAATGGTCTCAAAAGAAACTTTATGGGAAGCACAATGTACAGGTTACATTTGAAGAAATTAATTGCCGGAGTTTTAATAAAGGGACCCCATTTTTTGAAACGGAAGGATTTTGGATCTCCTTCCAGATAATTGAAGACCTTGACATAGAGTGGCGCAAATGCAGAAGTATCCAGGATATTATTGCGGCGCCAAAAAAACAGTGAGTTCAGAGGTACCATAATATTGCTAAGATTGTGTATCTTGTTTCGGTCAGCAGGATTAAGTCTCCACAAGTGAATTATTTAAATTTCACCACCCTGCACTACTATAGGAGCAAAGGGGTTAAAATCTCTTGGGACAGACAACTCATTACCGACAGACGCGCTACTCATAATAACCCATCATTCTGGATGTAAAGAGCATATTAGTTTATATAATAGATACAGCCATCCCATTATGCAAGAACCCTAGGGATAATACGAAAATATCGTAAACACTCCTTTGAATTGTAGGAAATGTACGTGTTTATACTTATAAGAAAACATGTTCTTGTAAGTTATGATAGCGTCATATTATCCGCAAATTGGTTATGACCGAAGGGTACTGCAATAGCAATTGAAGATCTGTACCTGGCAGCAATTAGAGTATAGGCGGAGGCGCAAAAGTCTGACCTCCGAGATACTGCACGCACGGATAGTGATAGGGATAAAAGAAGCGGACACAAGGCCTACTGCACATCGACCTGATTAGATCTATTGTGCTCCCCTGTTTTTTGTAAGTCCCCAGCCAGCTTCAAGCTGTTATTCAGCCGCGATAGCTTTGCCAGCGGCTCCTTTGTGTGGATCTTGTTTGCGGGTCTTTAACGGGCCAACGTTTCGATCTTTATTGAGATCATCTTCAGGGCTCAGAGCGTTTTTTTCTGCATTGTGTCATTGTCATGCCGAGGGCACTCTCATCAAAATAGACAAGAATGACACAATTACAGAGAATCTCAATAAAGATCCAAACGTTCGGACGACAAAGAAAATGATTTTCTACACCTACGTCACACCAGATCTCCAAATAATCATTAAGTAACAGTCACTAAACACCGAAAAAAAAAATGATAAGAATTTGGTGTTTCGATTTGTATTGAGATCATCTTCAGCGCCTGGGATTTATAAACATTGTTTAAATCATACAAATGCATATAAGATACGAATATGAATTTATATAATTATGTACACAATGTAGAAATTTTAGGTTCAATATCTGTACTCACAAGTGTGTTTTATGTGTAGATGTGTCACTGTGTGTGTCGCGTTAGGGATAGGGATAAAAGAGGGGCCACATGGCCTACTGCACCTCAACCTTAATTGATCTATTGTGCTCCCCTGTTTTTTTTTAAACCTCACTGGCGAGCGTCAGGTTATTCAGCTTTGCCTGTGGCTCCTTGGTGTAGGACCTTCCTTGTAGTTTTTCTTGTTCTAGTTGAAAGAACCTGCACCTACATAGACCGTCACAGAAACATAGAATACGTTCTGCGGTCTCCTCCTCTTCCTTGCTCAGTGTTTCACGTGTCTGTACTCCTATCTGGTGCATATGCTTTCTTATGTGGCATTGCCCTATCAGGAATCCAAACAGAATCTGGTTCGGTTGCGGTTGCTTTCCAGTAATTTTTTTGTAAGTTTTGCGTATGCTCCTTCTATGAATCACTTCGCTTGCCTCTTACTTGTGTTATGTCAAACTTTTCGATGCCTCTAGGGCTCAAGCGCCCCCCATGCCAGGGTCAGATCATTAGTGTCGCTGACTTCCGACAGGGCCTCCGCGCAGTTCCAAACACATTTGCCTTCGGCTTCGCCTCGCATGAAGCTAAAGGACATAGTGCTGCCCCAACTTCCGGGAAGTATCCTTAGCCTTCTTATTTCCCTGGCGCATTGTACGACCAACTCTAAAATCAACATACTTTGGCAAGTAAAGGGTTGTAGTGTATCCCTTTAACTGGTCATTTAATCCGTATCAGCGCGTTTAGAAAAACATGTTTATAATACAATAAAACTTATTAAATCGTTGTAAATATTAAAATATTTTATAAATTTTCTAAAGCAATGGTTGCTGAGTTCGTTGCAACTTGAACAAAAAAGTAAAAACTATATAAAATTGTAAAACTAAAAATTAAATGTGCTCTTAATAAAAGAATATTCCCAGATTGATTGAATTTGTAAAATTTAATCTACATAAATACCAAATCAGGGATTATTTAACACAGAGACGATTACGTTATCTGATAACCACCCAATTCTCTCTCTTCATTGGTTTCGGGCATACTTAATTAACGAGCCCCCGGAAATGGGAGAATGTCTTCCATCAGTAAGTAGGCTAAAGACTGATTAAAATATTTGAATTTTGTCATTTGATGGAACATCTTTGCTAATAAAATTAGAAATTTATACTAAAATCCTGTTAAATCCTCTTTTTTTTGCCTTGGGTAGTCTTTTTATAAAATTATGTACAAAAGAAAAACGGGAATTGAAGACAATGACTTGATACTTATACCTATATACAGTTTTTATTTTCTCATTTCGTAAAAATCACATTTATAAAAACACCCATTTACTTCGATTTCGAAAAATTATTTATTTTTTTAAGTTAATTGGAAAATTTCATTGTTCACACTTCTTGGAAGATTCAATTATAATTATATTATTGTGCAGCACAAACGGGTGAACTGCAGTAATTATAATGTCATCGGTGTAAAATAATATTGTTATAATCCTCCACCAAACACAACAAGAATACCACTCTCTACTAGATAGATAACATCGTCAACGTATTAAAAAAAACAATGTAGGGCTTAAGACTCATCCCTGTCTCATACCTGTACCCTCACTAGATTTTTAGAATTAATTAGTAAACATCTTCCCTTCAAAGAAGTTAGAGTAAGAAAACGATCAGGTTACATGTTGATCTAAAAGCTTATATGAGAGAAAGAGAATACTTTGTAGAGTTTATAAAAAAAAGAAGACTGAAGAATGTTGTAAGAAATATAAGATTTTAAGAAATAAACGTGAAATAAATTTACAGATCTAAAATTTATAAAGTAGATGAAATAATATTATTGATCGAAGTCTATTTTAATAACAAAAATCAGTTTTGTAATCGAGATTTGGCTCAACGTGTAAAATGCAGTAAGGAAAAGAACGTGGCAACAGTTTTCCTTCCTAACTACGTGATAATACCATTTGACGATTGTAGAAGATTATTTTGTCAATACGAACGAATTGTTTTATGTGCAATTGGATAAAAGCACATTCAGAGTCAGTTTATCAAGTACTAAGTTTAAATCAAACCAAACAACAGAAAAGTTCTACTTCGTTACCTCCAACGCCATTGTCTGATGAATTGTTTCAACAAAATGATCTACCATAAAAGCGAAATAACATTGTCTTTTTTTTATCAAAAAACTTTATAAATTACCAGTAAAGCATTTTATGATATAGTGTTGGTAAAACTTGGCCCACATATCATAGAACGAAATTTTGGTTATTAAAAAAATAATTATTGACCTTAGAGACTCACTTGAAGGATTCCGTACTTGTGCTCCATGTCTAAGAAATGGTACTCTTTCGCATGCTGGTGCCTCGGGGCGGTATGGAGGTGCGACGCTCCAGTCGTGGGTCCGCCAGAATTCCCTCCTCCCGCTTCCTGATAGGCTAGAATATTTGCTAAACTCGCCAGGACAGGTTCAGTGGCGAACGCAAGTGTGTCGCCACTTTCTTCGACCGAGTGAACCACCTGAAATAAAATTAAACGTAAGTATGAACGAATTAGTAATTAAAATAATAATGAACTGTAAATTCCTATTGGATGTAACCTTTTAATATGAATGTCAAAATAATTTATTCTCACCCTTCCAGTTTTTCTTTATCCTCTCCCTTTCTCTCTCACTCTCTCTCTCTCTCTCTCTCTCTCTCTCTCTCTTTCTCTCTCTCTTTCTCTCTCTCTCTCTCTCTTTCTCTTTGTAAATATTTTTTCTTAATAAAACACATTCTTATCCATGTTAAGGGATTTCCGGAAACACACCCGATGCTACCCGACGCAAATCCAAAGTCCAATTTTCCATAACATTGCATTACACCCTTGCCATGTGCCCGCTGCTACGCAACGCTACCCTACTCTACGGTCTGTGATCCCCACTGACCAGATTTTCGTCGGGGAGCATCCAGTACAGTCGAAGACAAAAGAACCGGAAACTCATATTTTTATTCAAACTACATCTATTATTGTCGTTATATTAATTAAAGCAAACTTATTTTAATATCAACCAAATTAACCGAGATCAAAAACTCATCAGATTTTTTTTAAAATTAATTTTAATAGTTTGAAAGAAAATTGATCAAAACACCGGAATACCATTTTTAATATAATGAATTTAACTAACAATTTATTGCAAGGTTTTGCTCATCAAATTTCTCTAACAATTTATTTCATGGTTTTGCTCATAAAATTAGACCATTTTCGTCGAGTAGCATCAGATCAGGACATTCATATTTTTTGTAGTTTATTTCAAATGTAATTCATGTAATTCATACGTAATTTTGTAGTTATATTAATTACAACATTCTTATTTTTACATAAACCAAAATAAACGAGATCAAAAATTCATTAGTTTTTATAAAAATATTTAATTATGATGGTTAGGTAGAAAATTTATCAAACACCGGAATAACTTTATTTAAAACAATTAAATTATCTAAAAATTTATTACACGGTTTTGCTCATCAAATTTATCTAACAATTTATTTCATGGTTTTGCTCATAAAATTACACCATTTTCGTCGAGTAGCATCAGATCAGGACATTCATATTTTTTGTAGATTATTTCGAACTATGTATATGTAATTTTGTAGTTATATTAATTACAACATTTTTCTTTTGATATAAACAAAATTAAACGAGATCAAAAATTCATGAGTTTTTATAAAATTATTTAATTATGACGGTTAGGTAGAAAATTTATCAAAACACCGGAATAACTTTATTTAAAACAGTTAAATTATCTAAAAATTTATTACACAGTTTTGCTCATCAAATTTATCTAACCATTTATTTCATAGTTTTGCTCATAAAATTACACCATTTTCGTCGAGTAGCGTCAGCACAGGACACTCATATTTTTTGTAGTTTAGTTCAAACTATGTATATGTAATTTTATCGTTGTATTAATTACAACATTTTTATTTTAATATAAACCAAATTAAACGAGATCAAAAATTCATGTGTTTTTATAAAAATTATTGAATTATGATGGTTAGGCAGAAAATTTATCAAAACACCGGAATAACTTTGTTGACGCCAGCCACCTTATTTTTGAAGTATGCTTTATTTTGGATTAGTGTAATCTCTAATCCAACTCACACCCTCTTTACAGTCCCAGTCCTGCTCTACTCCTACGAAAGAAAGTGTCTTTACACATCGCTTTAATCTCGTATGTTTCTGTCCTTTATAAATTAAAATAGATCCAAAATCACGCGAATCTCCGAAAATCCTTTGCGCTTCTACATCGATCTCTTCCAGCTGAAATCATCTGATATTCTGCGGCGAGGTCAGGGGAATCGGGCCCTACTCCCTACGCCTCTTGCAGCCGTTATCTGAAGGAAGGTGGTAAGTCCCTTATAAATCTCGCAAGTCATTTTTTTAATTTAGAATTTTTCTTAAATTTATTTTATTAACGTTTCATTAACATTTTTTTCATTATTATTTTTTTATTTCTTTCCACGGCATTGAACGTAACAACTTTATTTAAACCAATAAAATTTAACAAACATTTTATTACACGGTTGTGCTCATAAAATTTAACTAACAATTTATTACATGGTTTTGCTCAATCTAATGCTTTAAAAACAGAAGAAGCGTTGCAATTGTGATACTGTTTTGAGATAGACGCTGTGTGACTGTACGTGACGTGCGCTTGACGTCGCATAAATGTGCATAATACTTTTGGTAAATTTTTGTTCTCAGTTTATATTAAAATAAGCATGTTGTAATTAATCTAACGAAAATAATTACATATACATAGTTTTAAATAAACAACAGAAAATATGAGTGTCCTGTTCTGACGCAACTCGTCGAAAATGGTATAATTGTATGAGCCAAACATAAAATAAATTTTTAGTCAAATTTGATGAGCTAAACCATAAAATAAATTTTTAGTCAAATTTGATGAGCTAAACCGTGTAATAAATTGATAGTTCAATTCATTTTATCAAAAATTATATTCCTGGGTTTTGATCAATTTTTTACCAAACCATTAAAAAAATTTTAAAATAAAAACTAATGAATTGTAAATCTCGGTTAATTTTGTTTATATTAAAATAAGTATGTTCTAATTAATATACCGGCAATAATGTAGTTTGAATAAAAATATGAGTGTCAGGTTCTTTTGTCTTTGACTGTACTCGATGCTACCCGACGAAAATCTGGACAGTGGGGATCGCGTAGCGAGAGTAGGTTTGCGTTGCATAGCATCGGGCATATGTGCACGGGGGTAGTACAATCTTATGGAAATTTTGACTTTGGACTTGCGCCGCATACCGTTTCATCGGGTAAGCGTGTTCCCGGCTTCATGTTTGTCCTTATGCACACACATATACAAAATATCTCCCTATTTTTTTTTGTCCATCTAGCTATTTTAAACCATACTACTACTTTCTCCATCTATTTTACTTTTTATCCCATTCAACATCACTCTATTTGCCCAAACAAATATCAACTATAACAAGTCTAAACCTAAGTACAACAATGTCTTGCTACAGTTTCTGCTGAGTTTAACATAATTGACTCTTGAGTCGACGTGAGAAGCTTATTGCTTAGGCGGGAGTTTACGAGAGAAAATTTAATTGCTTAAGTAACGTTTCATACATGAGAGGCTTTAGGAGGCTTTCTCCCGGGATTGGCAGTGATTAATTTCAGGTCTGTATCACATACAGCCGTCTTTGTCGATCGTGTTATTGGGGTTGATGAAATGCCCCCGAGATATTTGCAATCAGTGAGTAACAAAACGGTAATATGTTCGACATATATTTGATTTGTTTGGTATCGATTTATTATATATTTTTAAATGATTATTTTACTAATTAAAATCCAATAAATTGATTATTTATTATGACTGGTTTCGTATAACAGAAGATAAATTGGTTTTGATAAATTTTTATTTGTAATAGAGATTTTTAAAAGCAACCCTAGCCATATTTGCAAAAATCCCTATAATTCTTGAACAAATTCAAAGAACGTTTTCTGATTCAAGACCTTGGTAACTGAGTTTCCTTGAAGTATTTTGCTTAACGTTGTTTGTATAGAAACAGAGTTTTCAATTACCTATATCACATGACGCAAAAGGGACTTGACTGAAAAGAGGGAGAGGTAATTAAACGTCATTTGCACGTGTATCCGTTTCTCAGGTTGGAGAGCAAAAGTTCACACAACTACGAATATCGCACGTGTAAGATCAATTGACAAAAATTTACTCGTTTGACAGATTTAATTCATACACTTATCGTTTTATTTATCCGTAGGAATTTAGGCTAAATCTAATCTAAGCATAGTTAAAGACGTAATTAATACCATATATACTTTTTAATGATGGTTTTGATGGTTTTGACAGACCTTGACCAGGTCTTGGGAGTGATCCATCATTTTCGGACTATGATAGAACGGCTATCAATGGAGCTAAAGACGACCCCTTCTTTCATTGTCCGTGCAATCTTTTAAAACATAATTTACGACATGTAAGCCAAATTTTTAGTCAAACACGAAATAAAAAAAGTAATATGATGACCGATTTTTATTAGATTTTTTTATTGCTACACGTCAAAAATTATGACTACCCCAACATTTTACCAAGCTGAAAAAATATGTTTTAGGAAAATTAAATATTTTTTAAAGATGGCTTTCTTCCTTTTTTCTGCATATATTTCACTATTATAGGTTTTTTCCGTTAAAGCAACCCTTGTAACTTCAAAATCACCTTACTAATTTCAAATTAACCCTTTTAAATTTCTAATACATCAATTATAGTTAATTAATTAATAAAATTTACCGATTTTATCATGAAATTTACACTTATTAATTTTGCAATAAGGTTTCTAATTTCCAATTAACCCATTTTAACTATGTATAGATTTTTAGTTAAAAATCAACCTTTCATTTAAAATAATAAAAAAGTTAAGAAATGATATAAAATACAAGCACGTAAATAAAATTCCTCTATATTTGTGATTTTTTTTTTAACATAATATTATTGGTATCTTAGGAGACTATACGAAAATTAATTTCAATTAAAATTAAATATCATATAAATGTAAATATAAAGGCAAAATTTTTTTTGAGTTTTTTGTAAATATAAAAATAATTCAATTAAATAGTTTTCGTGGTTCGCTTGACCAAATGAAAAATGGCAAAAATGAGGGAAAATTCAAAATGTGGGATTGAGGTGGGAAGTTAGCGTCCGAGTGGATCGAGGTCACCGTAGCTCAAGTGGTAGAGCAGCGGCGTATCTGGCCGAAGATCGTGGGTTCAAATCCTGCTCGTGACACTGACTTTTCTATCTCAACTAAAATCCTTAATTAATATAAAAATAATTGTGCTGTTAAAGCAATTTGAAAATAATTACAAATAAAATTAAAAATAAAATAAATAAATCTTATTTTAATTTGAGAAAGGTAAAACATTAGAAAGTGTAATATTTTATATTTAAAAACATCTCAAATTCAAAGGATAATTATTTGTTTTTAGAT